TGTAGGGGGCTGGAGGAGGTGTCAGAGGTAGGGAGGGGGTGTAGGGGCTGGAGCAGGTGACAGCGATAGGGAGGGGTGTAGGCGTTGGAGGTGGTGTCAGAGATAGGGAGGGGTGTAGGGGGCTGGAGGAGGTGACACCTATATGGAGGGGTGTAGGGGATGGAGGAGGTGACAGAGATAGGGAGGGGGTGTAGGGGGCTGGAGGAGGTGTCAGAGGTAGGGAGGGGGTGTAGGGGGCTGGAGGCGGTGACAGAGATAGGGAGGGGTGCAGGGGGCAGGAGGAGGTGACAGAGATAGGGAGGGGGTGGAGGAGGTGTCAGAGATAGGGAGGGTGACAGATAGCGAGGGGGCGTGGGGGCTGGAGGGGGTGGCAGAGATAGGGAGGGGGTGCAGGGGATGGAGGAGGTGACAGAGATAAGGAGGGGTACGTAGGGGGCAGGAGGAGGTGACAGAGATAAGGAAGGGGTGCAGGGGCTGGAGGAGGTGTCAGAGATAGGGAGCGGGTGTAGGGGGCTGGAGGGGATGACAGAGATAGGGAGGGGTGTAGGGGGCTGGAGGTGGTGTCAGAGATAGTGATATACCACAGACCCCTCACTATAAAACAAATATACCCCGCCCCCCTCACTGTAACACACTGATATACCCCACACCCCTCACTGTAACAAATAGATATACCCCACACCCCTCACTGTAACACACTGATATACTTCACACCCCTCACTGAAAGACACTGATACACCCCACACCCTGCACTGTAACACACTGATATATCCCACACCCTTCACTGTAACACACTGATATACCCCACACTCCTCACTATAACACACTGATATACCCCACACCCCTCACTGTAACACACTGATATACCCCACACCCCTCACTGTAACAAATAGATATACCCCACACTCCTCACTATAACACACTGATATACCCCACACCCCTCACTGTAACACCCTTTAAGAGTTGCGCAGTGTTTTGGAATAAATCTCCCTTTTCATATTTCTGGGGATGTATTGTGGAAAGAGCTGGGGTTCCGATGGCAAACATTTCTGTCTCTTGGTGCCCTCGGCGTTTGTGAATCGGGTGTTCGACCTTCCAACAGGGGGCAGTCCCAGCGTAGGAAGCTGTCTCTGCCAAAATCCAGGATTCGCCTGGAGATAGACAATTGCCTTTTTTGGCGAATTATATTCCGCTGATGCATCTGGGAGTGTTGGTTTTGTTCGTGGACTTTTAATTGAATAAAGACACATTTTCTCTCTCTCTCTTACACACACACACACTCGTTCTCTGGGATCTATTTGAACTAAATCTGCAGATGGAACAGATAAGCATTTGTCACACTCTCAGTTTTGGTACTGACCAAGTGATAAAACTCTGTTGTTCGACAGTAATTGGCGAGCTTTCGAAACGAAAAAGCAATCACTTCTGAAAGCAACAACTACAAAAAACAAGCATTGCACATTTTTCAAAAGTTTTCCAGAAAGTTTGGAAAAGGTTTTGCAGCAGGTTTCGTTAAACGTTGTCCCCCGTATTTGCAACTGCCTTATCGGCATCCTTTTCAAACAATGATGATCCCTCCTGCCTCCCTGTTACAAAACATTTTCAGGGTACTTACTCAGAGTGTGCAGCGTGTTTTATGATAGAGACAGTGAGACACAATCGCCCTTATTGACTCCGCGGACTGGGCTGTCTCCTCGCACTCCCACGGTGACTGCCGCAATTGACACTCTGCACTTTTCTCTCTCTCTGCCTCCTCTCTCTGGCTTTTCTCTTATTAAAAAAATCCTTAATTGGTCAGATATCAAATTGTGAAGTCCTTTAAACTGACGTCTCTCCAGTCACCGCCTTCTTGCCAACATTACGTCAATACAAACCCCCCAAGAAATTGCAAAATCAGAACGAGAGAGAGAGACAGAGTCAGGTTAATGCAGAAACATGGGCCCTTGGCTGGGGCAAGTTCAGGGTGTGGGTCAGTGCAGACAAAACGAAACGCACATTCCATGACCTCTGAGCACCTTCCATCACAGCCAGAGCTGTGTGGGGTGTGTCAGTGTGTTACAGTGAGGGGTGTGGGGTATATCA